TGTCCAGTTTCCCAGTACCATTTTTTGACTACATTATGTTTACTTCAATGTGCATTCTTGCCTCTTCTGTCATAGATTAAATGAACACATCAGCATAGATTTATTTCTGGGGTCTCTATTCTGTTCCATTGATCTCTGTTTGTTTTTATGCAGGTACTAAGCTATTTTGATTATGACAGTCTGTCTCTATAGTTTAATATCAAGTAGTGTGATATCTCCAACTTTGTTCTTTTTAAAATTGGTTTGAATTAGAATTTAAGGTCCAGATATTACATTTCGTTGGTACGTCTTTTAAATCTCATTTAATTTATAGATACCTCATCCTCTTTTTCTTCCCTGCAATTTATTTGTTAAAACATTGAGTTGTTTTATAGTGTTTCCTCCAGACTAAATTTTACTGATTGGATTCCTACAGTGTCTTTTAACATGGTTTTCCGTGCCTTCTATCCTGTAAACTGATAGTTAGATCTAGAGGCTTCCATTTTTTTGGCAAGACTACTTCAGAGGGTATGGTGTGTGCTTCACACCTGCAGAAGGCCTGCAATGAATAGTTGTACTTCTTTTGTGACATAAGCAGTCATTGTTGATTATTGCTTAGCTTTATTATCTTGTTAAGTGTTTGTATAATGATGATACTCTAATGCTATCAATTTTATTCTTTCATTGTTGGAATACTTTAAGGAGAAACTTTCCCTCATCAACTATTTGGTTATCTTGTTTTACAGTTTGTTCAGCAAAGGCATGTTGAGAGTTGATATTTCCTCCTTTTAATTACTTTTCAGAATAATGAATTGGTTCCAAAGGTGAACAATGATTTCTTTATAGTATCTTTTTAAACACCTGGATGTCAACACATCCGATATGTTTCAATCAATTTCAGTTATTATTTATTATTGCTGCTCAATTTTTTACTGCTTCGGCTAGTAGGAGCCACTTGAAGTTGGCTCCTGAGTCCTTTTGACACAACCCTAGTGGTGTTAGATAGTCCCCTTGCTTTCCGGTATGACAAAATATTCCAGCCTCATCTTATATACTTCATGCCTCAGATTTGAAGTCGGCCATTTTCCCAAAGGGACTTTCGTTCGATTTAGTGGAAAATAGTATTAAGAGATCACAATCTTGTGCTGAGGTCAAAAGTAATAATTCAGTAAAGATCTACAGGGAATAAGAGAATGAGCTATGGGATATTTGGGAGAATAGCATTCCAGGCAGAAGGAACAGCAGGCGCAAAGACTCTGAGGCTGGAACAGAGATAGCAAGAAGAAGAGAGTGGTAGGAAAGAAAATCAGGGAGATGAGGGGGAGCAGGCCAATTAGAAGGGCTTTAGTTTTGCTTAGAGTAAGATGGGAGCCATTGGAAGGATTTGAGCAGAGCAGTGACAGGATCTTTTGTTTTGTTTTAATTGAATCGCTATGGGTTCTGGGTTGTGAATGGACTGAACAGAGTTAAGAGCAGGATCTGAGAGAAGGGTATCACACTAAACCAGGTAAGAGATGGCGGGTCTTGGACCAGTATGGTAGCAGCGGATATAATGAGAAGTGATCAGGTTCTGGATATATTTTGAAGATGGAAACCAAAGAATTTGCTAAAGAATTGACTTGGATTGTGAGAAAAGAGGATTCAAATGTGACTTCAAGGTTTATGGTTTGAGACATAAGTAAAATTGTAAAACATCATGAATATCTGACATCTGAGACTGGCATCTCTTCTGTGGGTCAGTGTTATGCTTGTGGAGGGAGGGGAGGAATGAAGAGGGGTTAGGCAGAACTTCACAGAAGACTAGATACTGAAGTTGAATCAGGAAGGATGTGCAAGAGGACCAGGTGAACAAGAGGGAAAGAACATTCTGAGCAGAGGAAACAACTTGTATAAACACAGAGTCATGAAAGGATTATGGGTCTGGAATTAAAATTCATTTTCGGAGTGCAGGACCCATGGCAGGAAATGAGTCTAGAAAGGTAGAGAGAGACTACGTATTCCATGATAAGAATTTGAATTTGATTTTATGGATGATAAGGAGACTAGAACTTTTAAAGCTTGGGAATGATGTTGTCTGGTATGCATATCAGAAGGTCATCTAGGCAGCAGAGTGAGAGAGAATGAAGATGGAAAAAATGAAATTTCAGTCATTCTAAGATTTTATCAAACACCATTTTACATTAAAAGAAAGGTGAATATCTTCATCCCATTCTAACAGCTCCCTCCATCTCTCTGAGTGCAGTTTTATTTCCTACAAAACCCTCCCATTACAAAGAACAATAATATAAATAAAGATAACTTTTGGTTCTGATAAATTCTCAGGCCTTTAAAAAGGTGCGCAAAACCCCATCTCTTTTGTAATTATTCTAAGATAAATAAGAAGTAATATTTACTTAACTATAGTGTTTTTGTGATGCAGAGGAAGGTGTGAACACTAGACAATATGATTAAACTGTAGCACAGAACATGTTACCATGAAGAAGTTAAATGTCAGAAGGGTCACATAATATGAGTTAGGGGCTAAACTGTGCTTCTATTACTGTAAACTCTGATAAACCTCAAATTTTTGTGAAGTGCTAGTTATTACAATAATATTTTACCACTTCTGGTTGAACTAGAAGTTGAGTGCTCTTGATAGCTTCTCTATGGTGAAATCGAAAAAGATCGAGTCAAATGTTGAAGTAAATTTCAGTCGTTGATGTGAAGTCCAAATATAACTTGATAGGAGTCTTTGGATTTTAATTTTGTTTGAAACAGAGAACTGTTGTCCCAGTGCCCAAAGTAAGGCTCTCCTTGACATGTTCAGGTGCTGGTCTGTCTGTTTCTTTCATCTAACCCCTCACCCACTCTGGATCTTCCCCTTAATCATTCTTTACTCTTTCTAGCTTTGATGATCTGTTTTCCATTCTACAGTTCACAGGATGTTCTGTGGGCATGCTCTTTTTCAAATTTTTCTCCAAAACTGATGCCAAGACAGTCATAAACCCATTATAAAAACTGTCGATTTTTCCAAACATCCCATTATGCAACTTAAAAACAGTTTTAGCACAATGGGACAGATATCAAACCAATAGTCTTTATTAGAGATGGAGTCTAAACTGGCTCTGGAAAAGGCATCCATTGGATTTTTGCATTTACTATAATTAGTTATTATAAATTCGGAATCCTGTAGCTATGGACCATTTAGTAAGATAAAGTCTTGTTGTACAGACCCAGATTTATTAAAGCATCAAACATTTATTGAGCACTTACTATGTGCCAGGTGCTATGCAAGGTAACAACAGAGATCCCTAGACTAAAAAAATCAGCCCTTGCCCGTATTAAAGCTTGACGGAAAGTAGTCATGGGCTGCATAATGATGTTATTGCCTAATGACCGCCTAGCTGTGGAAACATAGTAGCGCAATGCATTACTTATGTGTTTGTGGTGATGCTGGTATAAACGAATCTACTGCACCGTACAATTATATATAGTACATAATACTTGATAATGATAATAAATGTTACTGGTTTATGTATTTATTATACTTTTTTATTGCTACTTCAGAGTGTACTCTTTCTAGTTATAAAAAAAGTTTGCTGTAAAATAGTATGCCATGTTATGGCAGCAGCTTCATACATCTTGTATTTACAGCCTCTCTTGATTGTATCATTTTCTCTTGTACTTGATTTCGTACATTGTTTTGTACAGTAATATGCTGCACAGGCTTGTAGCCTAGGAGCAATAGGCTATACCATATAGCCTCTGTGTGTGTAGTAGGCCATATCATCTAGGTTTGTGTAAGTACATTCTGTGATGTTTGCACAAGGACAAAATTGCCTAACCACACATTTCTCGGAACATGTCCTCAGCATTAAGCAGTGCATGACTGTAGAATTCAGAACATATTTTCTATATAGAATCGAAAACAATCTTCAATGGTCACAAATTTGTATAATTAGCTTTAGACAAAAATTCTCATGTTGGAGAAGCAATGTAGAAAAAGTATGAACTAAGAATCAGGAAAACAGATCTACAGTCCTGCTTTGCTACTATTCATTCATTAATTCAACCACTCATTAAATATTTACTGAAAGCCTACGCTGGGGGAGAAAATGATTAAGTGCTGAGGAGCATGTTAGCAAATAAGAGAGACTGCTACCTGTTCACTATCTGTTCTGTGTGATAGTGAGTGTATGGCTTAAGTTTTCCACATCTCAAACTTTGGTTAGTCTAGATGTCTAAGGTTTCTTTCAAAACTAAAATGCTAAACTTTCTGACAGCGTTGTGGAGAGAGAAGCTGCCTAGGCAGAGGGTTAACTTTTGCCCTGATTTCAAGATAACTTTGTAAACACAGTATTGTAATCTTTTGGTCAGCCTTTCATCTGCATTTGGGTCATCTTGACAAAGCCCGGGTATAGCAATTCCTACTCAGAAGACTTCAGGGGCAGGACGAGGTCACAGTTTGGAAAAAAAAGGTAGACCACTTGCGTCAGTACAGCTAAAGAGTTGTTCCCAGCACGCAACCTCCTCTGCTGTTCCACCCAGACTTCCGTCTAGCAACACGATTTCTGCCACGGGTTTATCGCTTGGGTGATCCATTGCTCTTCTGGTCTAATAAGCCTTGTAAAGGGAATGCTCCTCAGGGGACCAGAAGTGATCGGCTTCATAGGGCGGGAAGAACTGTCCTTGCGTCCTGCAGTTTTTCCAGTGGGTATCAAGGTAACAAGTTTTTTGTTATCTGGCTTGAAAATTGCAATAAGTTAATACCATTTTTCTTTTCTTTTTCTTTTTTTGCTTGTAGCCAGGATACATTTTTCAAGGGGGAAAACGGATTTCTGCAAAAAGAGAGGAAGAGCGCGCGCGCAAAATATTTGAACATTCAGGAATACCAAGTTACAACCTAGGGAAGCCGTCTTGTGGCTTTAGGGAAATGAGCAGCTGGGCTCCTCGGCCAATCTGTCGCTTCCAGTCAATGAAAAAGACAGAGGGTTTGAAGTTCCTTCCGAAACTGGGCCGGCTAATTTAGCCCCTCCCACGAGCCCGAGGGTCTGTTATATCTCTGTTCCTTGAGTACCTCTCTCACTGAGACCGACCACAGCAAGCAGAGGCTGAAAAAAAAAAAGAGCAAAGAGGAAGAAAACAAAAGCTGCCAGTTATGGAAGATGTAAAGGGTAAGAGCAAAATTGATTTGATCCGAATCCTTAAAAGAA